ATTATTAGAATCAATTAAACCCAAGAGCCTCAATCAAAGACTTTTAATATAATATGTGAGGTGTGACTCGAACCCTCGACCTCCCACACAAATTCCACAATTTTCACCAATTGGGCACTTCATCCGAATTAGTTATTTTTTTCACATATTATATTTATTGTATAAATATCTAACATAACCTAGGAAAAATTGTGTAAATCGAAAGACAAAGGTGATATTAACTTCGAGATTTATCTATATTCAAATATTTTTCCAATTGCCCCTTTGTGCACGTTACTTGCAAATGTGATAGCTTATATTTATGGCGTCGTATCGTTCGGAAGATGTGAATTATTTCAGAAGAGCTTGTGTTGAGGAGCGTTTTGTACCATTAGATAGCGAGATTGCAAGATTGCGAGATTTGTATTTCATCGATAAAAATCATAATATTTTTAATAAAGAGTCAAAATGAATGCTTTTGACATAAATAACGTTTCCTTGCTAGGATTCTTGTTCTTAATCACAATTTTTTTTTCTGATGTGTGGTGCTGATCCTACAGATGGATTCACCAATTTGCCCTTGATGGAAGATAATTTCGTAATCTAAAGACCGTTTAATGTACCATTTGAAGAGATACATTTACGAAAATGGGGTTTGTCAGCTATGGGTTCATGCCGATGATAAGTATCACGATCCCAATAGCTTCACTCAGCCACGTACTAAAGTTCGTATACATGTGAGTTAGCTTCACATGTCGTGCGCATCTTATTTCCATTTTCGTGCAACCTAGTTTAGCCCTATACATGTTACATACAACTTGCAGGGACATGACTACTTGTCCGGAGTGTAGCAATTTGAAGGCTATGGCTTCGTCCCAAACGGAACCTCCGATGCTACAATCGTTCAAATTCACGGTGGGCAAGTGATAGCTAGTGGGATCTATGATAAATGGTTTAGGGTTAACCTAATCCATGATGTTGATGGAGGGAAGGTGATAGTTTTTTTTTTTAATGGTGAACAAAAATTTGAGACAAAAGATAGATGGCCTGGGCACTTGTATTTCAGATGTCGAGTTTATGCAGCACCAAAAGACGTTAGTGATACAAGCAATAAATGGAATCTAGGTGGAGAGACATCAAATTATACAAGAAATAATGATAGATAAGTTAAGATATAAATGTACAATATGGGACAGCATGTTTTATTTGTAATCATATGATCAGTCATAATTATGTTGAAATGTTTCGACTCATTGCTAGCAATATATACTGAAAGCTATTTTGTTGAAGACCGAGTTTAAATAAATAAATCTGGTCATCTAAGATAACTTAAACTTTTGGACAAATCGATTCGCATGGTATCACAACTTGAAAAGTTCAGATGAACAATTTCACTATATATTAAAAGAGGCGAAGCAAATGTCACACGTGTCGCCATTTCTCATCGTCGTCAAAAATCCCATTTTTTTAAAAAAAAATTCTCAAAAATTCCCACACCGCCGTCCTGCTTCTCCATTATCTCATGCAAGCAACCACTCCTCCTCCATTTTCCTCTATTTTCCCACGCAACCTCTCATTGGACTACCTCAGGTTTGGATTATATTTTCGGGTTTTGGGTTGTTACGGTTTCGTTTTTTCTCCCTTCTCTCTACATGCTGCTCTAATTTTTTCACCCAACCTTGTTTTTGCAGGATTCGAAATTTTCGAAGTCTGAGATTGAGAAATGGACTGCTCAAAATAGTGATTGAAATAAGGTATTTTAATGCCAATTGTTTTTCAATAGTTTTCAATTTTTTCCTGTAAAGGTATTTTCTATTACCATCAATCTATTGCCATTCTTAAACTCAATTTAACTACGTATTTTTTTTTTTTGATTTTTAGTTAATTTAATTGGTGATTGTTGAAATT